CTTTTTACTCTGCGGTGGAAAATTATTTTTTTAGTTACAGGACAGTTATTACAGTTGTGACTTGGTACACGTAACACGTTTTACTTGACAGACTTTTACTGGATGAGGAAAAATGAGGAAAACGTGCTTATGACATGCGATGAGGATTGCTCAGCGCGTTTCTTAATTCACACTGCACCTGAAGTGAATATACTTGTTGTCATTATTTTTTTGTATACTTCTATTACCCCCGGCATTACATTGATCCTCTGTCTCAATGTTGCATTGTACTTTGTCATAGACACACTGTAAAAAAAATAATTTTGTCCTCGTCGGTCATTTTACAAATGTTAATGAATTAATTTTTTTATTCCTGTCAACATGACTTTTTTCATTTAATATCAAATAAAAAAGCATTGAATAAAAATATAACTATAATCTTACATTTTGATTACAATTAAAAAATACAGTATAAAATACAGTAGTTACTTAAAATAATTTTTCTTATCTTTTGTACAACTAGATGATCGATCTGGTTTGAAAATAAAATAAACCCTCGATTGTAGTGGATGTCTCATATTCTTTGATTATTCATATTTACTAATACGTTGAAATAAACCACCCATTGCTAGGTTCTGCGTAAACTGTTACAAAAAATTGTTGATTTATTTTTTCACGTTTCAAATTACGATGAGATAGAGAATAACAACGCGTTGTTGGCTCTTCTGATTTTATGTGTATACATACATACGTTTAGACCGCTCTATGGCAACTACTGATTTATATATTCGCTCCAATATGATAAAAAGTTCCTCATTAATATTTATTAATTTAAAAAATTAATTGTCTTTTTGATAGTAGTTTTTGATGTTATAATTTTCATCAAAATATTTGGAAATGTTATGTTTTTTGTTCCAAATACTTCGAACCCAATATTTTTTGTTGATGTTGCTGATTTCATAACATATATTACTCTAAGAATTTTACAACACTCTTTAAAACTGTTTACAGACTGTACTTGTACTATGAATATCCACAAATCAAACAAGACATTACATACATTTTTGTAATAATTGTTTGTATCAATTTGTTCATGCATCATCATAATCTTCTAGACACTGAGTGAGTACGGCGAAGTAATACCCAATTATGTATTTATTCTTCGTCGTTGTTCTTCGAATTCCAAGAGCGTGGCAGAGCGTTCGGAACCTTATAGGGGCCATCCATAAACTACGTAACGCCATTTAGGGGGGTTGGGGTATGAGGTTATGTGGGGGGAGGGGGGGTTAATTAAAAGTAACGTAACTTCGCTTTATGCCACGAAAATTAAAAAAAATTAAATGCGTTTTTATATTTTTTCAAATAGAGCGCGTAATTGCAAGTTTCTCAGTCATGCCACGCTAGGCGCTGTATTGTACGTATATATATACTAGTGACACTACTACCTACCTACTCGTATTATACGTTGATCACGCAGCAGGGTTGTGTTTTTCTAGTTGACAAGTCGCGACGAAAAAATCATGCGATTTTATTTTTATTTTAGGTAGGACATGCAATTCATGTGGAGTATATTATGCTTCAAAAAAACAAAAAAACTTGCACACCAAAGAAATTCGTGGAAAAGTCAATAATCAAAAGCTACGTGCAAAAAAAATTTTAGCGAAAAGGGAAACATAATTACTTTGTGAACTTGATATTCTTGAGCCAATAATAGAGTGACTCGAAGAAGAAGACGTAGAAATTAAATATTCTGATTTCACAAATAATGATTTTACAGATGATATAGCTTCCTTTCCTATAATCAGTGATATATACGAGTGGCTAGTACCACCTTTTGAAAGTGCATGTGATGTAGAGTTAAAATAAAAGTTTTATTTAATAATAAATTTAATTAATAACTCAATTTTTATTTTTATTTAAAAAAAAAAATTTTTTAAATAGAAAAAGTTACGTAACATTTACCGGGGGAGGGGGTGGGTCAGGCAAAATGTTACGGTAAGTTACATGGGGGAGGGGGGAGTTCAAAAAAGGCCAAAAACAACGTTACGTAGTTTATGGATGGCCCCTTATCGAAACGGAAAATCGATATTTCGCAACGAGCGTAATTTCGACGAATCAGACGAGGGAGTGCAGAGTCCAGTTGACCAACGTGTTGCAGAATTACGTAAGAGGTTGACGTGTAGCTTGCGGAATTCACTTTTCATACTTAAGTGAGACTCTGGGAGATCATTTTTTTCGATTCAATATTTCTGCGAATTCTAATGCCAGGCGTAAATCGTCACGTCATAAAATATTTACGAAAATATTTTTTCTCCCAAATATCCTTTGATGTTAATAAAAAAGCGTATGGTAGAATTTGTGCAGTATTTTGAAGTTACGAGATGATTTTTATCCATTACCATAGTCTTACCAGGTAAGTAAAAAAAATTGACACACGTTCCTTTAATAAAATTAAACGATATTTTTTGCCAGCATGTTGTGCCAAATTCTTATGAGACATTCTGTATTCAATAAATACCAGAATCGTATTTTATCGAAGTTTCCCGGTGAGGCATATGTTTTGAAAAATGAAATCTTGGATCGAAAATATCTTAAAAACTAAATGGCAAGTCCCATAAAAAATTTGTATGAGTGTTTGCTTATATACACAAAATTTGTTTTTAGAAAGTTTTGGGCCATTACAGTATATAAGTACTTTTAATTTAAGGCCCAAAAATTGTGTGAACATTTATTTATTTTTAATAGAACAATTAGTTAAATCCACGTATCTATTAAGATCTGATACGAGCACTCGTACAAAGAGACAATCATCAGCAGAAAAAGTACAATTATGGTATTGGTTGTCTCGATTACTCCTTACGATGGATAGTCTCTTTTTAACTATTATTATTCAATAGCGTAACAAGTACGCAAAAACTGGTGATTTATTGTCATACGACTGTAAATTTTGTCTTTTGAAATCAACGAGATTTGAACTCTATACGGATACTTTCAATTTGCAGAAAGTCGAAATTCACATATGGTGTCGAAAAAAACAGCCTCTGATTGGTCTTGCAGAGAAATAGGTATTATCTGAGATCCTTCGTTGTAGTAATTTATATACTTTTTACCGAAATTTTTGTTTACAAAAGCGGGAACTTTTCAAAGCACACACTTGAACCAATTGATTGTTTCTCATTCTATATACCCTCAGAAATAAGGGAAAAATTGTGTGCAAGCATTTTAAGGCTTATTAATTTTCTAAAGTGAAAAAGCTGAAATAAACTGTAAAATACCGGAAACTGGTTGAATATCACTGAGTTAAAAAAATCTTATATTTCCCGCATTCTCTAGACGTTTGAAAACATTAATTACCCCTAACCTTTGCATTAAATCATTGGAATAGGAATAATTTAAGGTAAATTCACCTTTTTAAAGCATCCCCAAAAATTAGATGCCAAAAATTGGTGCGGAAATGTATTATTTTCGGCACATTCACGTGGACAGGTATTGTAGGTTGTTTATTATTAGGTGTAATTACTTTTGAATGGTGGGTTACATCATCTATCCATTACAAGTGATGATTACTCAATCATTGCCTACTGTAAAACAAACTATAATTGATGCAAAAATCGATTAGTCAATTTATTTATTAAACGGAGGTATAAAAAATCGTAGTTCTTCGAAGCACGAAACAATAAAAGCTTTTTACGTATTACATAAATTATAATAATAATAATTTTAAAAATTAATATCAGTATGGCTTTTTGCAGTGATAACTAATGTCGTTTATTTTCAAAACAATTTTTGCATAAATTTAGCTGTTTGCTCATTTTATATTGGCGTTTTCATAATAAAGATTTACTTATGAACATTACATTATTTTTNTAGCTAAATAATTTAAAAAACATAACAGGTATTTCATTTACCATCCAAATATTTCACCAACTTACAACAACGCGATACAACACGACATACTGAGGCCCACACCTTGAATTTCCTGAATACTCGCCACGAGCGTTTACGTGAATACAATACTTTCCCATGATTTCTGCACCTGAAATTAACAGTTTTTTCTGCAGCAACAATTTTATTACATCACTTATTCAGTTGGGCCGGGACAAGAGTCACTTACTCAGTTGGGCCAGGAAAATGGCGGTTAATCGCTTAGGTCTTGTATCGATTACGTGAAATTGGTCACTTGAATCTTTTTAAAAGTTTGTTTGGACGAAAGTACACTAAAAAAGGATACGCTTTCCGGTTTTAACTGAATTCTGAAAAAAATGGAGTTAATCGATTTGTCCGGGAAGCCACAAATATTATCTATGGGTTATATTACTTATACTTGAAATCACAATAATTGAACGCAAATAATAGATTACAACGGATAAAATCGTATTTATAGTTTTCCATTTTAAAACATAATGTAAAAACTGAAAAGTTGCATGTAAGTACCCCATTTCTGTGAAAAAAAATTTGACGTTTATTTTAAAAAACCCTGAACTGGGAACTAAGACAAACACGTATTTATATCTCATCGAAAAATTATTTTTTATCATTTGTAGCAGTAAATATTTCTGAACTTTTTATCATTTTGATAATTAGTAGGCTAAGTATTACAAATAAAATATTGTGTCGTAAAAATAGTAGCTTAGCTCTTCTTGATATCCCACCATCGAGAGATCGTCTTCCGCTTCTTACATTACAGTTACATGCACTCTGCGCTCTCAACCGATCACCGACTCGCGTGGGCTCACATCTCGTACGGCAGACTGTTTTATCGTCCGAGAAGAATATAGTAACGAACTAACGAATAGTGGCCACAAATTATATCAGACATGGATTATTTCTGTGCTGTAATTCGATATTCTCGCAGTAAGTATATAGGGAAAATGTAGCAACTCCTTGCCCATGCAAACAAGTAAGTATATCATGTATCATGCGAAACTCAGCTCTACGGCACCACAATTGTACTTTGCACGCTTGCGTGCAAGGATAATGTACGTGTAATAAACATACGTGTGGCATGGTCTCGACGCAGCGTCTAGTATTTAGTCTAGTGCGAGTCGTTGTCGAGCGCCTCGGCTTTTTCGAATAAGTTAACAAAGTTTCACGAAAAGAGGCACCCAAAAAATAAATAGTTTACGGAAAGTAACGTAATAAGAGGTACACAAGCATTTTCTAGTGGTCGAACATCTCTGCTCAACGATGATCGGTTGCAGAAAACCCGTTTAATGCGATTTTTCTGCTGAACAGAAAGTGTATATTATGTATATATACGTGTACGTACAAAGACAAATCTGGCGTGCGATCACCCTCGCTCTCAGTTTGTGTGATTGTGTGTGATATAGATATGTTCGCCAGTGCGATCGCGTCATAATGCCTGCAGTATCGACACCGACGGAAGCTACGCCTTTGCTGCAAAGTGAGTTCATTTGATAACATATTTGCATGCAGTAAAACTGCGTTATGTATATCTAGGTACAACTTGTGCCGATGATAAATTTCAAGATCTTGCGTTCGAGCTTGAGAGAGAGAGAGAGAGAGAGAGAGAGAGTGAATGGGAAGATCTTTATTCTTCCCATTATTGTGAGTTCCGATATCCGAATAAGATGATAATAATATTACTGAGGTATTGTAAAAGAATATTGGGAAGTTTCATTAAAAAAGAAAATATTCTTGTTCTTTTGTTTCTGATAGAATTCTTCCTTTTTTTTCTTTTGTAGGTAAAAGGTTTTTAATTGCATACATGTAATTCATTTGTTTCTATTGTTCAGTATGTTTTGTAAACTTTGGTTAAAAATAAATAAAAAATAAACAAAAGAAAGTTGAATTTATTTGTCAATAAAGTGGGATATCGTAAAAATCAGATAAAAATTCAACTCAGCAAAGTTGTATTCGTTCTGTTTTCTATTTACATAATTATAGTTATAAAATATTTTTATCAAGGTTGAAAATTATCTATGAGATTATTTGGACATTGACGGGGTTGGCTTGATCCATGACACCATGACAAATACCATTGAACTTAAATTGCTTTTATAACTTAATTATTTCATAACTTAAATATAACTATAATAAATGAACCTTTAAATTTAGCACTTCAAGTTTGTCCGAGTTTTTGTTACTACTGTGTACAATGAGCATTTTTATTTTATGCATGTAGACTATATATTACGACTATCAAAATCTTACGCCCAATCACCTGACTTCTATTTTTTTAATCGCTTTGAAATAGTATTTTACATAACATACACAAAAAATAACAATAAAGTCCCAACACATTGTTTGTTATTGACAAATTAATCGTGAAAATCCTATTTTTTCAGTTTTTACTAAGTATTGGGAAAACTGTATGTCGTATTGAGATATGTTCAATGTAAAAATCGGAGCCTGCTTAGTTACGTTGCAAAATTACAAAAACAAAAACAAAAAATGGCATTTTGTTATTATTAAATAGTAATTGTTGCAATTCCAAATACTCAAAATCAATCAAATGTAGTATCAGCCATGCGTAAGTAGTTAAAAAATAAAAACCAATTACCCCTATATTCTCACGTGTTAGAGTAGAGCATATTGAGGAGAGTGCAATCTGATGTATCGGTTTTACGACCCTCCAACCCAGCAAGCAGTCGTGGCCGAGCGGTTAAGGCGTCTGACTAGAAATCAGATTCCCTCTGGGAGCGTAGGTTCGAATCCTACCGACTGCGAATTTTTTTATCATTGTTACAATCCAAGTTACGAAAAAATTATATTTTTTTGGTTTTTCATTTTTTTTCTAAAAATGATTACTTAATATTAACTTATGCCTGCATAACACAAGAACCTTGGATTTTAAAAAATGTTACATGTGTGCACTGTTTACGGTGAATTTCAAAACACAATTATTTAACTGACAAATAAAACGGATGTTGACCAAATTCTAAATCTTCAGTATATAGTATAAATTTAAGTTTGGGAAAAGTACATTAACTTTATCATACTTCTATCAAATAATGTTAAATTAACTAATTTCACAATGCTATATATAAAAATGCATCATGTTTTCATCACTTATAAATTGACAATCATCCGCATTAAAAATATTTTAGTTTTTTAACCTTGAATTAATCAGTCCCAAACTAAAACTAATTTTTGTGTACTATAAAGTTATTTTAGAATAACTTACTGAATAGTTAAGGTTATATGTGATCGAAGATGAAAAGGAAAAATTCTACGCGAAAATAATATCAAAGTATTATTTGATGTAACGAACAACAGGTCTCAGTTTATCTATAGATATTCATATATGAATTAGTAGAGAAAGGCACATAGATGTTACTGACGAGCTACAGGATATTACAAGTATATACTTAGTGATCTAGTCACCACTACATTTTCCTTTCCGATTATCCTACCTCAAAAGATTGATTGTCACGTGACTGAAGTCTTTTTATTAATTGTGTGATTGGTTGAAACAGGTCGAGTGTATTGTTTGGTGGGATTTTTTGAAGATAAATTGCATTAAATTGTAGAAAAAATTAAAATGCAATAAATTTATCATAAAAATGTAATCAAGAGTAACTTTACTTGATTTTTTAAAGTACTTAAAAATAAATATTGAGACTAAAAGCTTTATTTGATTAAAGTTCGGAAGAAATAGAATTACACCTAATTTTCGAATGCCCCTTACATTAATTATACTATGTTACATACATTTTTATTGGAAAAAATACTTTTTGATTATCACTGAATTATTTTCATCACGAGCGCGTTTAACATAACTAGTAATATAGTGAGTTGCAAAACTAGATATTACATTGTTAGTAAATCTAACATAAAAAAGTGCTAAGTTGTTAAAGATGAAAGATCATATTATGTGGCGGAGAGTCGAGATGGAGACGTATACGTGAATTAATGTATCAACAACTAATAATTGCGTAGACCCGATGCAACGGCTGGCAAAGAAGTTCACATGACTCACAATGAAATCGAAGAAAGCGCGCCCAACCTGTTATTCTGCTGCGAGTTATTATTGGTACGGCTTTCGTGGCTCAGCGTATAGGCAACCAGTTATGCGCTGGAGCGTACAATCCACCAGTTGTATCAGTGATTTTATGAGATTAAATAACGATTGGGTTAATCAAGGTATCAGCTGATGAACATGAATTTTATATTGACTGTTTCATTGATTTCGAATTAATAGTTTACGAACTTTATTCTTATTTGCTGTAACAAAGATACTGTGATTAGTAAAATAGTAGTTTTCCGCCCTCGGGTGGTTTTGGGAGGCTGGTACTTCCTCGGGCGAAAAAGCAGTTTTCCGGAACTCGTTCAAAAAGTCTCCTTTACGAACCTCGTTACGAACCTCGCCTTCGGCTCGGGCCGCAAACCTCTCGGTTCGCAAACAGAGACGTTTCAAACTCGTAGGAAAACTACCATTTCGTCGGATAAGTGCCATCGTCTCTGGGGCTATTTTGCGGCGTAAAGTAGCCACGGAGCGATAGCGATTATGTGACGAATGCTATTTTTCCTACCGAAGGAACACCAGCTTCTCAAAAACGCCCGAGGTAGGAAAAGAGAATTTTAAGATCATAGTTAAAGTCGAGAATGGTAGTTTTCCTACGAGTTGGGAAAGTCTTTGTTTGCGAACCGAGAGGTTTGCGGCCCGAGCCGAAGGCGAGGGACGTAACGAGGTTCGTAAAGGATACTTTTTGAACGAGTTCCGGAAAACTGCTTTTTCGCCCGAGAAAGTACCAGCCTCCCAAAACCACCCGAGGGCGGAAAAGTTTATTTATATAGTCTGATGTAAACTTCTGTTTTATTTAATTCTATTTACCTACAATCATGACGTGTATAAACAAGTCCATATTATGAGTAAAACTCCTTGCTACATACACGGCAAAGTCCAAAATATGTTAAATTTGAACAGCTACTACAAAACATTTATACGACTATAGTTTAAGGGAGTTCTTTCGGTAAGGGAATTAACAATGAGAATTGGATGAAAATTTGTTTATAAATGAATAAAGTTATAACAATCACACTGTCAAAATTTGAAGGCACGAGGGTTTCTACGAGCCTAGTAATTAATATTCATATTTAGCTAATTTTTACATGTAGGCTTGTGGGCTGTCATCTTTTTAAGCACTTCTAACGCATTTACCTCGCTCATTAACAATGAAATGTAGATGAAAATTTTATAAAAAAATATCGAATTGTCGTATTTAATTTTATTAAACATCTCGAGAATACCAGTGAGAGAAGAAATTCATTAATAAGGGAAGTAAAAACTACAAAAGGTTATGTTGTCACGAGAGAACGAGAAAGACAGACGACATACCAAACTATAGAGAGCGTCGCATGGCTTTGATTTGAGCGCAATTCCGAAGTCGCGCCCCCAATGGGCACTTCAAGAATGATTGGTCGTGATTAGAAAAGGACAGTACTATGAATTGATTTTCACATCCTCATAGAAAAGCGACATTTAAGTCTTCATCTATGACTACTTGTCATACATATAGCGACATCTGAGACTTCTTGTCATACAGAATTAGAGTTCTGTTTCTGACCTTGGTGTAATTATTATACTTACTTATATGAGGCCCTACCCATTGAGCACAAAACGCCTCGAAAAATCGACAGTCACGGTCCACTGTTCCAGCGATAACAACCCGGGGTGCCCTTGGTCACTGGGCGATAGCTGCTTTTATTATAATTGGCTCACCCACATGGAACTTCGACGTACATGGCGAATCACAATTGTTTGAAAACCATGTGAAACACAGTAATTCAAGTTAAATACTAAATTTCGTCTCATCAGATTTAAAGAGCGTCACCTGGTAATGGCGTCGAGGAGCATTGCTCGTTTACGATTTAATAAATACATCTAGACTCGATTAATTTTCGATGTTTTAATTGATGATATGGTTTATGGATTGTATTGAAAAAAAATTTGACCATAAATGGATGTGTATACTCTATACTATGACTCTCATTTTAAAGCGTCTCTGGGACGAAGCTGAGCAACATCCAGCGTCGATCAGAGTTCATAGCACAAAAGCACAAACGAATTTCAAACAACTTTATTGTGCCCACAGCCCACAGTACAGAAGAGTCATGACTTAAGGTGCCTGTACATGGGCGTCTTAATGTCTTAAGACTGTAAACCTCACCTATGGCGGGTGATTCATTCAAACTGATGTTAACTTTGTACCGATATAATTTGTTTTAAAGAAGAAAATAGACACTTTTTTCATCATAAAACTATGTAACCTGATTACATTATAACGTTAGAACATTTTTTAAGGCATCAAATGAAAAGTTTCTACAATTCATGTTAATACAATAACTTTGTCAACATAACCTCTCTATTTGACGACTCAGCGTTAGCAAAATTTTTTTAAGTTTTGGTGGCTAAATATCTTTCCAATATTATAATGCAAT